GGTCGAGAAGCCAAACTACCATGAAACTGTAACCCTGGTGATTTGAGCCACCGATACGAGGGTTTGTGAATCATCGAATCCATTCGTACTCCAAGCGACGAACCGTAGAACGAATGAGATGAGAGGGCGGTATACGGGTAATACGACGCTAAATACGGCGGCCGGCCGCCACCGAGTTCCATTCCTTGGCAGCGCTTGGCCATGGCTCTTTCTTGCTTGTGAGCATTTTGGTGGCCTCCTAGGGCTTGGGAAGTGGAAAATTCCCTCTTGCAAAAGTTGCATGAAAAAACCCTTGATTTTGAATTTGAAGACAATTCATTTGCATGACCATGAGAAGAGGAGGAATCCACCGTCACCGGCGGCGGCGGCGGCGGCGCCGACACTATCCTCTTCAAAATCTCCGGCGATCCCTCGTCGGACTCTTCATTAGAAAGCTTAAGATCCAACAATAGCCGTGAGTTCGGCTCCTGTGACGACTGCCGATCGCCGCCGTCAACTTCATCCACCACCATCTTTTCCAACTTCACCGCCACCGGTCTGCCGCCGTCGTCGCCGCCGGACGCGGCGGAGATACTGGAAGCTTCAATTTCCGCCATTGCCAACCAAAAAAAAAAAAAAATTATTCTTTTTCAATATCTCAAATTTGTGACAGAAATTTAAAGAGAGGAATTGGGTTTATATTTCTGGTTGAAATTAATGCAATTAATTTTCAATTATGGAAAGAAATCTCAAAATTAGAGTAATTACCATGAAAATTATAAAATAAAATACATATTTTTTTTAATTTTTAAAATTTTTTTTAATTTTTTTTGGAGCTGAGATGAATTATTATTTAAAAGTTTGAAACTATAATAATTATATTTTTAAAAAAAATAAAATAATAAATAATTAAAAATTATGAACTAAAAAGAATCTGCCACTAAAGGAAGAGATTCATGAGTTTAATCTGAAAAAGGCAAGAGATAAAACACCATCCCATCCCATTTATTAAACTTTCCAAAAATAATTATCCAAATAATTTTAATAATTATTATTTTTATTTAATTTATTTTTTTAATTTTGAAAATTGAGTTCATGTTCTTTTGTTAATTATTATTACTACATGTTAGGATATTGCAATTTCCTTAAACTAAGACAACGACAACCTATGACTTTTACGGTCGTTCATAAATGTGTTCAAAAAACACGATCAACCCGATACAATTCGTACCGTTTGGATTGGATTATGAAGTTATTTGAGTTGGGTTGTGCTCGAATAATGAAAATTTTATAGATTGAGTTGTCCAAACCAACCCGAATTTCTCGTTAATTTAAAAAAATATATATATATATATATATATATATAATAATTTTTAATTAATTTTACAATAGAGTCGTAAATTTTAATTAACGGTCTGAAAAATGAATAAATAAATATTATACCAATTAATATTTTATTTTTATTAAAAGAAAAAATTTGAATAAATTAAAGTTTTCGACTCGACACCTAAAAAAACCTCACAACTCAACCTATTCATAATTTTTTAAAATTTTAATTACACTGTAATCACGAGATATTGAGAAATGGGTCACGCTCGATCTTAAAGATGGAATAAGATATTAATGAATAAATTATTTTAATGGGTTAATTTATTATTATTATTTTGACGTATTAGACAATTTTTTTACCATATAAAAAATTTAAATTTCTGACCTATTCACCGAAAATATATATTTTATATCAATTAAATTATGATTTATTGAGATTAAAAAAATATAATTAGAGAGAAATTAAATAATTATAATTAAATTTTGAATTTTTTTTAAAAATAAATAATATATTTCATAATTATCTTCATCACATCTAGCTGGCTTCCCATTAAATTTTTGTGGCCTTTGATTTTGTAACTGATTTGATTTAATCAAACTTTATAAGCAGTTACTAAAATTCAATTTTTTATTTTTTTTATTTTTCTAAAAATAAAATCTTATCTTAATTAATTAATTCATTAATTATTAACACAGATTTACCCATCAACTTTCCCAGTTGTAATGATCTTCAACTTTTCTCTTTTTTAATTAATTTCTATTTTTGAATATTAATATAATGTTTTTTTTATTACCCAATTTGTGTAAAAAAAAATTAAAAAAATCCCTTTTATTAATGGGAACAAAATAATCTTAGTATTTTTCAAATGTTTGGTAATGTGTGTTTTAAGGTTAAAATTGTAAGTTAAATTATAGAATAAATAAACGTTACCAAAACCCTAATATTTGTTCATTAGTTCGAGTAATTTAACTGGTTGAAGTAATGATTCAGTAAACCCTAATATTTACCGAAACTCTAATGTCAATTAGTCAACTCGATCAATTTAACGGGTTACAGTAATGATTAAGCAAACCCTAATATTTACTGAAATCCTAATGTTTATTATTCAATCCGAGCAATTTAACTAGTTAAAGCAATGATTCAATGAACTCTAATACAGTGAACCCTAATACTTATTAATCAACTCGAGCAATTTAACTAGTTAAGGTTAAAGCAATGATTCAGTAAACTCTAATATTTACCGAAACACTAATGTTTATTAGTCAACTCGAGCAATTTAACTAGTTAAAGCAATGATTCAGTAAAACATAATATTTACCGAAACCCTAATATTTATTAGTCAACTCGAGCAATTTAACTAGTTAAAACAATGATTCAGTAAAACATAATATTTACCAAAACCCTAATGTTTATTAGTCAACTCGAGCAATTTAACCGGTTAAAGCAATGATTCAGTAAACCCTAATATTTACCAAAACCCTAATATTTATTAGTCGATTCGAGCAATTTAACTGGTTCAAGCAATGATTCAGTAAACTCTAATACTTATTAATCAACTCGAACAATTTAACTAGTTAAGGTTAAAGCAATGATTTAGTAACCCCTAATATTATCGGAACCCTAATATTTATTAGTCAATTCTAACAATTTAACTGGTTAAGGTTAAAGTAATGATGCAGTAAACCCTAATATACTAGAACCTCATATTTATTAGGCAACTCGAGCAATTTAATTGGATAAAGTAATGATTCAGTAAAACCTAATATTTACCGAAACCCTAATATTTGTTAGTCAAATCAAGCAATTTAACTAGTTATAGCAATGATTCAGTAAACCCTAATATTTACCGAAACCCTAATATTTATTGGTCGACTCGAGCAATTGAACTAGTTAAAGCAATGATTCAGTAAACCCTAATATTTACCGAAACCCTATTATTTATTAGTCGACTCAGCAATTTAACTAGTTAAAACAATGATTCAGTAAACCATAATATTTACCGAAACCCTAATGTTTACTAGTCAATTCGAGCAATTTAACTGGTTAAACCAATGATTTAGTAAACCCTAATATTTACCGAAACCTCAACATTTATTATAATATGATTTATAATTAGTCTTCACAAAATGGTTAAATCTATATTTAATAAAATAGGTAATATGAAATAGCATATAGGTTATTATTAAGAAAAACCCTAATTAATTAAGGATTAATTATAAGAATTATAACCCTAATTAGGGTTTCTACATTAGGAATATGTTTAAATTAAAGAAAGTTTGATTTGGTCATATTAATTTTTTTTCTTTATTTTATTTTATTTATTTAAGTTAGATTATTATTATTTCAACATAAATTCATTGTGTTTTATGTGCCAAATTTGGCCAATATTACTCAAATTGTATCATAAACTTCATACAAGTTGGTGTTTTCAAAGTTAATTAACTAATTGGTTCTAATTACCTTATAATTAATCCATTTTATTTTAATTTTATGTACTAAACAAATTATTTAAATTTTTTTTTCCAAATTATCCGTACAATAGAATATCTTTTTTATGGGAAAAATAATGTACTTTTTTTTTTCTTTTAATAAATTCAAGAATTAATTTAATTATAAGAAATTAAAAGGGAATTTTTGGACCACTTGTAAAAATTAATAAGGAAAGAAATTGTTTGCAACTTCATAGAACTTAATGAATTTTTATTATATGGTAGGTGTAATTAGTTCCTATAGTTTGTGATTTTTTTTTAATTTTAATTTTCTTACTATTAAATGCCTATTTTTTTTTTTTTTTTTTGTCTATATACTTCCAATAAATTTTGAAATTAGATTTTAATGTTAATTTTTTTATTTAAATAAAATTGTATCTATTAGTCTTTCGGGTCATAAAAATGTTATTATTGTGTGCTCTTTTTATTGGACGAAAATTATTATTTTTTATTTTACCATTAATGAAAATTTATTAGAAATACAGAACTAATAGATAGTTATTAAAAGTATATGGACTAAAATGAAATTAATTTAAAATATATGGACCGATATTTCAAAATAAGAGTAAAACTATTTGACACTTAAAACGAGTGGTTATTTAGCCTGTTTCAAGCGAGTTTTTAAATTAATTAGCCTTTTCAAGCGAGTTTTTAAATTAATTAGCCGAGTTTTTAAATTAATTAGCCTGTTTCAAGCGAGTTTTTAAATTAATTAGCCTGTTTCAAGAGAGTTTTTAAATAGCCAAATAAGAAAAGTAGCTAAAGTTTGAACACTTTCTACCAACTATCGCGAGGGGAGAGAGATTCTTTGAATGAAAAAGAACAAGTAAATCATTTATGGCAAAACCATATTTTACATCATTTATTATAACACAATATCTCTTATTCTTATTTAAAAAAATAATTTTAGCAAATATAATTGTAAAAGTTCTAAATTTTATTTCTTCAACGAAACCTTAGAATTTTTTTTTTCTTTAATAATTGTAACATTTTTTTAAGGAAATATTCAATTTTACAATTTCTAGGAACATAAACTATTTTTAAAAAAAAATTACATGTCCATTAACAATCAAAATAACCTCAAAATTTAGAAAATAAATAAATTATTATCCTAAGTAAATAATGTGAAGGTCTACTAAGACCCCCACATTGTTGAATAATTATTAAAAAATTAAAAAAAATTAAATAAATCATTAGCAATGGGAAAGATAGGAATATTTAAATCATATTGCTAACTAATAATACATCATTGGAATGCTTAAGCAATAAAATACACACCTGAATTTTTTTCTACTTTTGAGTTTACCAAAATTTAATGTACATACCTTCTCCTGAAGTCTGTCAATGGTGAATATGAAACTACTTTCTAATCTGGGTGAAAAGTTCAGGAGGTTTTCCAGTTCCTCCTGAACCACCCGGAGCAGCGCCAAAAGCCGAGAACCCGCCGCTTCCTTGCTGGTTGCCGAACGCCCCGAATCCACCTGCAGCACCGGCAAAACCTCCGCCTGCAGCACCTGCAAAACCTCCGCCTGCAGCACCTGCAAAACCTCCACCGGTAGCACCTGCAAAACCTCCCGTTGGGGGAGAAGCACCAGCAAATCCTCCACCGGTAGAGGCTGCACCAGCAAAACCACCGCCACTGAAACCACCACCACCAAAACCACCGCCACCACCTGAACCAACACCAGCAAAACCACCACCAACAGGTTTCACACTAGTAAAGCCACCACCATTAAAACCGCCAGGGGATCCTGAAGCAGTTCCAGGTAGACTAGGACCAAGCTGTCTTGATTGTCCAAATGAACCAAGAACAGTACCCAGTGCTTGCTGCCCTACTCCAATCTGAGCAGGCTGACCAAACCCGCCTTGAGCGGGAGCTTGAGTAGCCATTCCAGAGCCAAAGCTACCAGAGAACGCAACTGCATTCGTCGGTTGTGATGCTGCTTGTGAAGCCAGCGGAGATTGGAAGCTAAACGATGCAGGCCGAAACAACTCTCCACTTGGAGGAGAAGCCGTAGTAAAGGAAGAATTCATTGAGGTTGCATTCACATTGCCAAACGAACCACCAAATGGATTTGGTTTAGGAGCATTCGACATAGGCGTAGAGGTAGTTCCAAATCCTCCCAAGCTGCTCAAACTAAACTCGACGTTATTCGTCTCTGGGGCCTCCTCGTCCATATCGTCATCCTGAGTAATCAAAGCATCTGAAGTTTCACTTTTACCATTTGCAGCAGCCTTAGAAGTCGAGTTTGGTGTAGGTAATGGAACAAAAGCAGCAGGTGACTGTTGTGGTTGAGCATCCGCTACTACAAATGGAACATGTCCTCCCACATCTTTGGAAACCGTCTGGGTTACAGAAGTTGGCTCTACATGATTTCCAACAGCAAGTGTTACAGAAGGTTGAAGCTTCAGTTCACGGGACTCGGGCTTTGAAGCCGGTGCTTGCTTTTCAGTATCGGCATCTGATTTCGGCATCGGTTGTTCTTTACTCGAGGACACCAATGTAGGATTCAAGGAAGATAGATTAGATGGTGGTGATACCATCTTAGGTGCCTGAAATAGGGAATCAGAAACAGAAACAACCGGAGAGGCGAAGCTCGATTGGGTTGATGTTGACAGAGGTTTATTGAGATCTACAACAGCAGCAGGACTTGGAAATGATTTGCTTAGCGGAGATCCCGAAAATAAAGTCGACGCACTTGGAGGAGTATTTACAGGTGCTGGTGCTGGAACTGATGGTGAAAACACGGTCGGCGGTTTTTTTTCTTCAGTCTTTCTCAGTCCATCAACGGTCGGAACCAAAGAAGATGTCGTACCAACAGATACAGGTTCCGGCTTATTGGCAGATCCAAAAAGTGGACTTGGAGTTGTAAGCCTCTCCTTTACGTTAGCAGTTTTCTGACTGTTCGGATTCAAGGTTTCAATGGAATCTTTCGGTGTGGACATCGGTTTAGATGATGTTACGAAGATAGATGATTTCTGCTCGAAGTTCATATTAGATTTCTGGACCGAGTCGCTTCTAGCGAGTGAGAAGAAATCAGAAGCTTTTGACTTCTCAGGATAAGTGACCTCTGCAAATTTGTTTTCTGAAGCCGCACTGTACGCTTCACTATTACTTTTTTTCACCATTTCATGAGATGATTGGAATACTGGCAGAGAAGATGGTGCTGTACCATTAGTTTTTTGCAGTGGTTGGAATTTCTGTCTAGGAGGGCTAGCCCATGAGAAAGGCGTTGCGGGGTTCTTGGAGCCTTGTTCTGGATATCGAATATAAATATAAGCCGAAACATTCAAAACTTTAAGAACAAGAAAAATACTTTATAACAGAGAATCAGTAAACAAATGACTAAGAAACCTTCTGATTATGCTTCATCTTAGAGATCATACCTGCATTTTTGGATGATGATGATAGCATAGACGATGGTATGCGACTAGCTGGACGAGCAATGGTTGCTGGTCCTTCAAGAGTGGGAGAACGAAATTGTTTCTCATTGGACAATGGTGTTCCTTGCAAGATCATCCGCTTAACGGTGGTTTTCGGAGGTTGAACGCTAGCCAGGTTCTGCACCAATTTTACAGGGGATTCATGTTAGATTCAGATCCAGGTAGATGGAAGCATGTTAAATTCGGACAGATGGGTAATCAACTTGGGTGGATGAAGATAGAATATACATAAAACACTTAGTTGGAAGGGTGCATTCTTGCATGCATGAGTGGAGTTTGTTCCAATCCGCATGCGATTATGTCATCGAGAAAGTCATCGAGAACGATGACTAGTATAAGTGGGGGAGAATATCACAACTGTAACAAGAAGAGAGTAAATTGTGACCTCCAGGTGCAAATAGGCAGAAGGCGAGTGGCGCCCATACGACCAGGTGAGAGTAGAGGTAGACAAGTGTCGTGATATGACTGAGGAGGATGATACATCATCCAACACACAAAAAAGAGTGTGCATGAAAGCCAAGCTGAGGCATAAGAAAGATTAGAAGCAACGTTGTTGCCATGAATGTCAGATACGGGCTCGAAAAAGGCCACTAGAGCCCCAAGTCATAAACCTCAAAAGTCAGGGTTCCGGAGTGAGTTTTAGCAAGCAACTCTAGAGTTATGTTCATCTATATAAAAAATGAAAGTTTGCAAATTTACGAATGCTCCACAAGATCATATGGCCGTTCGCTAAAATCATGTCTACTCCTACCATACCTAAAATGTCTCAGAATGTACTGTAGGGAGAAGCGGGAGAGGCATGTGTCAGGCCATATGCATCCTCATTGTTCCAACAACATTCCATACAAAGAAATCCATGAATGGGCATTATGAAGAAAGGTGGTCAGAGAACAACTTGCCAAGTTCTGAACCATCTTCCATGTATGGCACTTAATCCAAGTTTATTTTACTAATAAAAAATATAGATCTTATTTTAAATTGACAGCAAAGTTCCATATGAAACACAGATAAAAAAAAAATGAAAATAGGGGTTCAAGGAAACACAGTACCCTGTCAAGTGAGTCTCTTCTCCTTCTCCCGGTTTCCGTTTCAGAAATTTTCGCTCCACTCCGCTGTTTCCTTCTCGATGTATCTTTACTTGAAAAAGAATCAGCAGAAAGTAAAAGCTTCTTACTAGAAGTTTCTGGAATTTTATTCACATTTGGGGAACTGAAAGAAGCATCATAAGTAATTCCAATAGTCTCGAACAATTCCTTCGTGATACTCTGCCTTTTTGAAGAAGGCGATTCGATATTGAGTGTAGCAATTTGTTTTGATAGATTATCAGAAAGAAGTTGAGCTGCTGCTAATTGAGATCCCATTATGTTATTCAAACTATGTAAGGAATGACTTTGCCTGAAACAAATTTTGAGGAAGAAACGTGTGTCGGGCTACTCAAAACGACCAGCTGAAAAGAAAACGGCAATAAAGCTAATAAATTTTTCACTGAATAAAATTTGACGTACCTCGAAGATCCAAATTTCCTTTGAAGAGTTCTTTCGTTAACTTGAATTTCCTCATTTCCACCAAACTTATTCAGCTCAAGGCCATTAAAATGCCTTTCTAACTCAATTAACTGGTTAGTCATATTCTGGAAAAGAGAAGAACCAAATGGATACATCACATCTCCAATCGAGGGAATTCATTTGTTTTCGAAACGATCGATAACCTACCTGATTCATCTGCAAAATGCGCTGTCGTTTTAGCTCTAATTCAGAACTTAACTTTTGGCGATCCCAATGTTCCCAATAGTTGCTGTCAGAAGCTTGCGTAACAATACCTTCAATGTATGTTTTCTTTGACAAAACTGAAACCAAATAAACTAAAAATGTAAAATACATATGAAATTATGACCAGAAATTAATTGATTATAACCTACATGTTGATATTCAACCAAGTCAACGTGATGACGGGAGGAAACCCGTATCGTCAATCAAATTCTCGTGATAACTAATGAGATTAGCCTCAACGTTTGGAAGGGATATACATGGAACTTTCTTATTCTACTTCTTTGTGACATTCAAATATTCGATGCATACTAAACAAATGCACTTTTCCAATATTAGCTACATCAACATGGAATCTTCTATGCCAACAACGTCGCCATCAATCATGTAGTATAAACGAACAAGAAGCTGAGGTTTAAATACCTTCAACCGTTCTGTCAAAGAGATTTTGTACCTCCTGTGCACGCTCAGTCATTGTGCGCTGCAAAGAGAAGGAAAAATGAAATTCACGTGTAAGATAACAGTATTGATAACAAGGAAAAGGATTGTGGGAGTAACAGAAAAGGAAAAAGGGGCTCAAAAAAAAGAAACCAAAATTAAAGCAAGTATTTCAAATCGAAAGAACTAAACAATAGAGGAATATTTTCTAAACTTGATATGAGAAATCAAAAGGGCATTCATCAACATAAACCTTCTTTTTATTCTAGTTCTAAAAAATTCTATTACTTTTTACATCCAATTCACCAACTAATGTCATCAAAGCAAGAAAAATTAAATTCAAAACAACAAGTTATTCCAAACATACTAACCAAAAGAACAATCAACGTTAGATATCTACAGAATCCCCATTAAAGTCATATAAACAGAAAATCTGAGGAAACGATCAATGAAGAAATGCATGCAACTAATCAGAATAATAACTCTTCTCTGAGTCACATTCCAAGAGAACACTTGAAACCTGGGTTACTTCTGATATTTTCTAAGCTCAAGTAATTTGCAAATCAACTGCCTATTATGCTTTGTTTATTTTGGAAAACGAAAACAAAACCTTTCATTGAAGATATGAAAAGAGAATAATGCTCAAAAGATACAAACACCAAAAGTGAGAGAAAGAAAGAACAAAACATAGTAAAATTACATAAGAAATAAGCCTTGAACAGGTTAAATAGTTCTTTCTCAAATGATTCAAGTCGAACATAATTAGTTTCTTCAAGGTTGATATCCAATACTGGCATTGGCCGTAGGACAGGGAATACTATCTCATACCGAACATATCTTTTTCGATTAGTTTCCTTTTCAGTGATGCTTCCATTAAGCTATTGTCGTCTCTTTTTTTTTTTTTTTTTTTTTCATGCGCTAATCTCTCTTACTCTACACATCATTGCTATAAAATGAGAAGCCCTGCAGCCATTCATCCTCCATAATTTAATTTTTCACATTTTTTCTCCTTTTCTGAATCTAGTACTTTTAGCAATAAATAGTGAGGTTATACAAATTAATAACCATACTCTCAGTCAGCCAAAGTACAGGAAAAAAATAATTAACAAACTGAAAAACACAAAATAATATTTGATAATTACCCTCCATATTTGACATTGATCTGAAAGAGTGGCTAAGCCAAGCTCCAAAGCTTCAACGGAGCTTTTCTGGAAAGTAGTGCAGGCATCCAAAAAACCACCCGGCTCTTCTATAGATTCTAGAAGCATGTCCAGCCCTTCGCACATTTCAGTCATCTGTAGAGAATAGGAAGCATTGAAGAAGCCAGAAAAAAATCTGAAAGAAACAAAATATATATACACACAAATATATAGAAAATCAAGCTTACAGAAAACATGAGAGGATACAAGGGGAAGACAAAAGTAATACTCCATAAGAGTTCTACTAATTCAAGATGGGGATCAAATCAAGTAAAATAAGGCCTAAAGAATAATTACAAAAAATTTTACACGAAAACCCATAGAGGTATGATGTCTCATGAAGGATCACCACCTCCTTCTCCGATCTTTCAATCTAAAAATCCTATTGTTTCTTTCCCTCCAAAATCTCACACAACAGCACAAAAACAAGCAAACCATAGTCGTCGACTCTTTTCACGAAAAACAATACTTGGCTGCAAAAAAGTTATAATTTATGTCATACACATGGAATATAGAGTTAAGATGTAAATTGAGTAACTCTAATTGAGCATAATCTAACCATCTTGGAGTATGACGCATCTAGAACTTTCTCGCTTTTGACTTCAATAATCCTCAATGGCCTTGCTGACACTAAGAGCCTGTTCTAAGATTTGTTTTCAAGAAATGAAGGCCTCCTAAATATGAAATTTTCTTCGGGGAACTTTCCTTAATTAATCTGGTATGATTTGATACAACACTAGAAGTTAAACTAATTGGCCTAAAATCCTTAACCCTAATCACTTTTTCCTTCTTAAGAACCACATAGCGAAAGTTTCAATTAGAGTTGTTCAAAATTCCTCTTTCATAAAACTCACAAAATGTAACACCTGGAATTTTAAGAAAATAAATAACAGATTCTTAAAAATAAAAAAGGGAAGGAAAGCAGAATGGCACGCACGCAAGTTGGAGAAGATGACTGTATAGTCAACTGTTAGTTTCTCAACCTTCTTTTTAACGAATTTGAAGCTAGTCATTTTCTCACCAATTTTATTCTTTTGACTTGATTTAGGGCATATTGAGGAATTTTGGAGAAATTTGGAATATCTTCGAAGACCCGACAAGCTCGGGAAGTTCACAATCATGTAAGTAACCATATGGAGCAAGCTTCTAAGAAATACTTGCACAAGTCAATAAGGATTGAGGGCAATGATTGAGTACTATGTTAGAAGCCTAGTTTGGCCTAGTCTCATGATAATTGTGCTTAGATGAACAGTTTACAACTTAATTCTATTTTCAATTATATAGCTTCTGCAAACATGATTTGTGAACTCTGATAGATCATTAGGTTCTTATGCTTTCCAGCATGCTGAGATTGGATTATTATCGCTTAATGAGCTTGATGAGCATGTTGTATGCCTTCATACGTTTATAATGCATGATTTAGGATTTGGATTGCTTGTTATTGTCTAATTATGAGGTTTATAATGCATGATTTAGGATTTGGATTGCTTGTTATTGTCTAATTATGAGGTGAACTATCGCTATGTGTCATAGAGTGTTAGTTATGGTTTCCATAGCCTATGAGTTCCTCTTTCTCCTATTTTGGTCCTAGTACCTAGTCATGAGTTCCAAAGCCTCCTTAGTTTAACGAGGTATCTTGTAGGGACGGATAGGGCGCAACCCCTATTCATGAACTAACTAACAAAGGTTATGGTTGACTTGTTACACATGGCTTAGTTGTCACCCATAGAGGATTTCAGGAGTCATAGAGGGCATGCTACTGAAGTACTATCAATGGTGCCTAGTGGGGAGAGCCATGGCCTTTTTACTGTAAAAGCCTAAGTGGCGTAGTGACAGGTAGTTTTAGTACTCTAGCTTGAAAAGGCAAAGTAACCGGTAATTATTGTTCCTAAGACAGGTAGTTTCACTGTTCTAACCTGATGAGGGTACATGAATAGGTAGTTTACTGTTCCAGCCTGGAAAGGCATAGTGACAGGTAGTTTACTAATATTAGGAATAGATAGATGTTGCCCGGCACCACTTAGGGAAAATCCACTTATTAGAGCTCAGTAGGTAGATATGTATGGAGTACAGTCACTGTTGCGAGCAAATAGGGCTCCTCCAGACTTGTGAGTATTATCCTAGGGCCTTTTCAAGGGCTACAATGACTCGACGCGCACTTTGCGCAAGAATGACGAAGGTCCTAAACATACGTGAAACCTGAAAATAGAAAACCACTAGGTTGTGAACCTAAGAGGGATTGAGTACTTCTTAAAGGAGATATGCTAAGGGTTAGTAAAATAGTGACCTACAAAATTTGGCACAGACATTAAGCCACAGTTTGGCTACCGTTAGAGACAGTTATGAGCACATAGTCTAAGTTTTCGTGTATAGAATTAAGTCTGATAAGAGCCTACAAGTAGGTTGCTTACTGATTATGTTTATACTCATCCCTATTATTCTTTATTTTTCAGATTGTGTGTAGACCACTGTTGATGACAAGAGCGTGTGGAGCCGTGCAGCTACACGAGATGTCCTTTAGATCGAGTCGTTTTCCTTCCTGTCATTTTATTATCATTTTAAATACTACTTCTCGAAACCTATGTATTTTTGTAAACCGTTTTGAATCGACTCCACGGATATTACCATTAAACTACTTTTATGTCAGCTTTGATTGCATCCTTAAATTTAAAATTCCTTGTGTCTCCCTGTTTTACAAAAGAAAATTTTACCGCCCTTTTTACCCTTGACTGTACATGGTGACCTGTGATTTGAGGTATCGAAAATCAAGTCGTTACACAAAAACTTTCCACATAAGATCTTTAATACAAACCTAATTATCCAAGAAAAATGGCCAAGGCAAGACCATCGGCAGGGGCTTTATCTTTGTCAAAACCGAAGACCACTCTTCTAATCTCCTCGAGAGAAAGTGTTATCCAAATCAGCCCTATCACCAGCTAAATGGGGGGACCAATCGAAACTTTCAAGGAAAGACCTAGGTGAAATACCCGATCCAAAGATGGAGGAAAAAAGAGAGACGATCTCCTCTTAAATCTCTTTATCTTCTCACAAGGTTCTCCCATCTTTGCTAACCGTGAACCAATAATATTTCTAATCCTTCTCCTAGCCCATCTAATCTCAGCCTTTTGCGTCCAACTAATAGTCTCACTTTTAAGCACCTCTTCAAACTTCACTTTTAGAGACAACCTTTCCTCTTTTGATCATCGCTTAAGGAACCCACCACTTCCAATCTATCTAACACAACAATTATATTCAACACATTCCTGTTTCTTGATCTTCATGTCCTCAAAAACCTCATGATTCCATGTTTCCAGAAACTCTTTCAAACGACAAAGCTTACCCTAGAAATGAAAAGCTTCCCGTGTTCCTAAACTCTCCACCACCCACCAAGAGAATCTGAAGAAAAGAAATAATATTAAAGTTGGCTAGGGGGCTATAGCTTGGAGGTAGGATACTTTTTAGTTGCCCACGCACTAGCAAAGGGAGAAGATACCTGTCAGAAAATACGTCACAACCACTATCTACACACCAATAAACAAAACAGTGAGATGTTAATCGACTAATTATATGGTAAAGATACAATATAACCATAAATGAAAGGACATGGGCCTCGTTATTTTGTTAACCACATACAGGGACCATTATTCAGCCCAAGCATAAAAATGTGCAGAGGAAATCTCATCTTCTAATTCAAGCTGTTCCTAAATGGGGGGAAACGAAAAAAAAATTAATTCCTAAGAGGAAAATATCGGCACAAGAATGCTCATGCAAGTATTCTATCCCCTTTTCCTTTTATGCTATTAGAAATGGAGTGGAGGTGTATTTTTCTTTTATAAATTTCTTTTCCCGATGAAGATGGATTGGAGTATAAGCAAGCAAAAGAATAGCAGACCAAGTCATAATGGATGTATCAATTATAATAATAATAATATTCAGATCTTTAAACCAAGTCATTCCTACAATAGAACATATTGAGAAGTTATTTGAATAAATTTCATTTAGACCTTACTCTAGAAAATCAAGCTGTAAATTAGGGCTTTATACTTCGGATTGTTACCTTGTATATGTTTATAACTGTATTTTTCTTTTCCTAATGGGTTTAGATTGATAGCATATTTTTTGCTTTATTTGATTGGGTGTCTCTTTGTATAAATATGATTCTTCTCTACTCATTGAGATATAGAAAAATATTATCCTTCCTACATAGCTTCACTTACTGGTTTTGCCAAGGGGACGTTGCCGTAATTTCGCTCTGAACCATCTTGCTTCTTGTTAGAAATTTTACCCAACGAGAAGTTGTCTTGCAAAGATACTTGCGAGCTTTGTATCACTGGTAAAGATTCAATTTTACCAGCACCTGCACTTACTTGTCTCCCACTTTGTGTTAATGTACTTGGAACATCCTTCGGTTGAAAAGGCTTTCCAGCAAAACCTGTGAAAGCATTTGCAGCACCTGAACTTTGCTTTATTGTTGACTCTTTAACATTGAGAAAGGGATGGCTAGGAACATCCGCCGATTGCTCCGAAAAAGCAACAGACCCAAGGCCAGTAAATTTCTGAACAGGCTTATCAAAATTCCCAATCTGATTGTTGGGTCTCTCCAAGAAAGAAGGCTTTAACGATTGGTTAGCCATGTCCACAGATTGCCCCGAAAAAGCGACAGATCCGAGACCAGTAAATTTATGAAAAGGCTTATTAAAATTCCCAATCTCATTGTTGGGTCTCTCCAAGATAGAAGACTTCAATGATTGGCTAGGCACGTCCACAGATTGCCCCGAAAAAGCAACAGATCCAAGACCAGTAAAACTTTTAACAGGCTTAGTGAAATTCCCAATCTCGTTGTTGGGTCTCTCCAAGGTAGAAGGCTTCAATGGTTGTGAAAAAGCAAAAGAATCCATTTGCTGGCTTTTAGCATTACTCTCTCTGGTAATAACTGGACTCTCATCTACTTCAGATACTGGACGCTGATCAATATTAGAAAAGAGCTGAGGCTGATCATCAGTAGGCACTACAGTATCGTCTTCCTCTTCCTCATCACAAGCAGAAACAGTCTCATCTGAAGCTTCAGATTCATTAGCACTGCATGAAAAGTTAAAAAAAAAACATAGTAAAAGAAAATCAGGAGCTATAATCATAATATTTAGGCTGCTATTAACAAGGGGGTAAATAGACTTTGGTCTTGGGTAACACTAACAAGCAAGGTCTCAAAACAGATATGGCAGTACCTAGAAAAATGAAACAGAAGGAGTTTTCCCTCTAGAGTAAGACACAAGAGAGTGCAATATGGCGAGACTTCTCTAATCTCTTCATTTCCAACTTGGACTTCCACCTTTCCAGGGAGAGAAACTCGATCAATGCACAGCCCCATTACCAAATTATCGTCACCGTTGTCTGAAACAAGAAAGAGATAGAATTATATCACAGAAGAAGAGATACTGCAGAAGTACAAAAATTAAAACCTAATCTCACACAGGTGTGTAAATAAAAACTGACTGTAAAGGCAATCAAAAATTTCTAATGGTAACAAGCCCTGCAACCCAACACTAAATTTCAGGAAATGATACTTTCCTCTGTGTGTGCACTTGAGAACACCAGGGAAAATCAAATAAATAGTGAAATGCTATAAGAAAACAGAACGGAACCAACTCTTAGAAAATTCAAGAAAAGCACAAGTATATTAATTGGATAATGTCCCAAAATAAATTGATCGACCGCATTGTAATCATTTTGTATTGAGAAGCCAAACTTTCATTTAGAAGAAAATAGAAAGAATAAAAGAGGACCAACATTGGCCAACAAGACTAAAATAAAAACAGCCTAAAAGTAGCCAAACAGGACTGGCCTAACAAACAAGAAAAGGACTCCAATCCAAGAGAATATTTAAGTCATGAAAAACCAACTCTAAGGAAGCCATAAATGTAGCGATCAAAAAATCACAAGGCAGGAAAAGTCATAATATAATATAAAGAAAATATGTTTCTTATTTGATTCTTCAAACAATTAAACTCTAAAGAGATGATAAACAAATACACATCCAGAGAAACGTCTTTTAGACTACATTTATATTAGGAAATGCAAATCATAGCTCATTTGATGACTCAATGCATTAAAATGGGACACATTCCTAGGGAGGGGGGAAATGGAAACAAGATAAGCTAATGAACTGTGGTAGTCAAATCACGAGATCCCTAACCTTGAAGCTCAATCCTCGGGAGTGACTTATCTCTTTCAATATCAATAACAGCAACTTCATTCTCAACCTCTTGCAACCAACCAAGCAACACAATATGCTGATCTGTATTGTTCCTATTGGCAACAATTGCGAGCTTGCTGCACCCAAATCAAGAAAGGTAATAAATAAAGCTGACCTGTAGGATCAGAATTAAAGAATAACCCCAAAGTAACGGGAAAAGTTCTCTAAATAAAAATAAAAAAAGAGGAATTCCATGTAAAATTCAATTCAGAGCTTTAATGAGACCAAGTGATTTCTACATACCATTTATCTAAATAACTCAATAATAAACAAGGCCCAGTTTCAACAGGCAAAATGTCTGGAGTGAAACCTGAATATATATCATGGAACGATAAAAGGACTTTATTTGAGGAAACCTACAAAAGAGGGTGACAAAAATTAATCTACCAAAATACATATAAAATAAATAAATCAATAACACATTCACTACAACATGTTGATCATTTAATGATACTGTTTCATAATTCTTGTTAAGCAAATTACATTCAATTTAGTATGAGTTTGTGGAAACAAATACGAAAATTATTATAACTCTCGGCTGTTACTATCATTCAGAAGATCAGAACAATAAGTAACAGATTTATAACCTATAAAGGAAGGTGATTGATCTTCAATCTAGGGCACTAATTACAGGGAATGTATGCAAACGTTCTCAATATATATAAAAAATGCTTGGGGTAAAAATATTAATAATAATAATAACAACATAATACACCATCCACAGATATAAGATTTTGTCAAGATACAAGAAAGAAAAAAAATTATTCATGATCTTCCTCTCTTCTTAATCAATGTATTCGTAACCTTAGCAATCATTTCCTTGAATAACGACTGCTAAGGTTCCCTCAAACAACCATCAACCTTGTTTTGATCTAAACTACTCCTTTGCTACTAAGAAGACTGCACATGGCCAATCTAATAAAGCTCAACTACCTTTTTCTCTAAAGGTGATACAGCAACTCTCATTAGCTCAGTAATTAGTAGTATCCCGATTTACTTCTTTTCCCTTTTTCATTCTCCTAGCAGAGTGTATAAGGTTAATAAGAAGTCAATGCGAGATTTCCTTTGGGAAGAGGTTGAAGAGAGGGGAGGAGCGCACCTAGTGAATTGGGAGACAATGGGAAAGTCGGTCAATCTTAGTGGATTAGAACTTGGGAATCTTGAGTTTGTTATAGAGCTCTCTTAGGAATATGGCTTTCGTGACCCCTCTCAAATCAAATTCCCTTTGCTGTAGGATTATTGTGAGTAAGCACGGTCCTCATCCTTTTGAGTTGTTCTCTAATGGGGTAAAAGTTCTGGCAAGAATCCTTGGAAAGAAACAATCAAGCGCATTATTTTTCTTTCCACATTCAAGGATTTACTTATCCTATAAATGTTTTTATTTCCCAATGAGATAATACCAATTGGTAAACCAACTTATGTCTCAATTAAACTAGTGTACGAGATTTTTTTTTATCAAGAAACCAAGGTTTCAATAAGAAAGAAGGAATATAAAAGGGCTAGCAAAAAAACAACAGCCAAAAGAAATTATTCAAACAACAATGGACCCAACCAAAAAAAGGGACTCCATGCAGAAGAACAAGGCTTAGAATATGATAATTACAAAGGTCCTTAAATTTTTAATTTACAAATGCCTAAATTTGGCAAGATCTCACACCTCTTTCCAAAACCTCTTATAGCCTCTAAAAATTATTTCATTCCTTTCAAGCCAAATGCTCCATAAAACAGCAAAAAAAAAAACAAAAAAAAAAAAAAAAAAAAAAAAACAAAAAAAAAAAGTATAAGCACAATCATGAACACAACCCTTCCTCACGAAAATAGAAATGGAAAAAGGAGAAAAAAATTGAAAAAATTAATAAAAAGAAAATCACAGCTACTCACGTCAGTAATTTTTCCATCTTTACTTCTGATAACTTGGACAAAGTAATCTTCTTCATCGCCTGTTGCAGTTACTTGAAAGCATCCTATAATGATACAATCAGCACGAACCCACTTGATAGAGTCAACTGACAAATCAGGAAAAATCAAGTTAAAACATCGTACCAGAAGTATTTTCTAGAATGATAAATATAAGGTTGTCATTAAGAGTAAAAAAAGTATTTTTGTTGTTTATTACATAATATTATCATTTTCAATTTATTTTAGTTTTCAGATATTTGTTTTTTACTTTTCTTACATTTTCTGGATTATTACAATTTAGTTAGAATTTAACTTGTATAATAATTCCTTGTTCTATTGGAAACCTCATTTAGTTATATTTTTATTTTGGAGAAGGAACGACATAGTAATTAAAAAGAATTACATAAGCGGAAGGAAGAGGCAAATTCCCAGACTAGCCATAGAGTACCCAAAACCCTGCAATTGGAGATTTATTTTAGCTCCTTTTGTCTTAGTTTGTAAGCTTGTTAGTGTTTTTTCACTTATCTCAATGAAACTTTGGCTTAGCATAATTATTAAAAAAATAATATTTGAAAATTTAAATAAATAACTAATGACAACGACAATTATCCCAATCTAAAATTGCATGGGAGAAGAAGCAATGTCTTCAAAATTCCCATGATTTCTCTCTAGTCAATGTTAGATGAACACGACTCTCCACAATGGTATGATATTGTCCACTTTGAGTATAAGCTCTCATGGCTTTGCTTTGGGCTTCCCCAAAAGGCCTCATACCAATGGAAAGAGTATTCTTTGATCATAAACCCCATGATCATTCCCTAAATTAGTCAATGTGGGACTTTCATCATCCAACACCTCCCTTCGAACAAAGTACGCTTCCCCTTAATCGAGGCTCGACTCCTTTTTTTTTTTTCTGGAGTCTTAGTCATTTTTTACTATGCCTTCGAGGATACTCGACTCCTTTTCTTTTGGAGTCCTTTGTTCGACATTTGAGGATTTACCAATCTATTGGCACGACTAAGTTTAGGGCATGACTCTGGTACCATGTTAGATGAACACGACTCTCCACAATGGTATGATATTGTCCACTTTGAGCATAAGCTTTCATGGCTTTGCTTTAGGCTTCCCCAAAAGGCCTCATACCAATGGAGAGAGTATTCTTTGATCATAAACCCATGATCATTCCCTAAATTAGCCGATGTGGAACTTTTATCATCCAACAGTCAATAACCCCCATATAACAATGACAGTTATCCCAATCAAGAATTTTTTTATCCTTTACCACTAATCATTGGCAATCAAATCTATCCCACGATAGTAACCAAACTAAATAGGGTTAAAATAAGAATAAAAAAGTATGCTGAGATTACTGAGGAAGAACGCAAGGTACTCCTTTCCATGCTAACAACTCAAACTCAACTTGTAGCTAACCTTAGAAGCACTAAGTTTGTGTTCCACTCTGATAGATCACAAAAGTAAAATATAAGAGACATCACTCACCAAAAGGAAAAATAAAAAGAATGATGAAAGTTATGAAACCTTCACATTTCAACACTTTACAGACATCATTTTTACACGCGCGCGCGCGCACACACAGAGAGAGAGAGAGAGAGAGAACCTTTCATTGCAAAGTCCGTATCAGTGTCACCATTCCCTGAACTTGGCAAGAGTGACATGGACAGTCGTTCCTTGAATTTATATGAGAAAATGGAAAGAGTGTCCTTTTTAGCCACAGCAATGAATTTTCCTTTCACACTGCATTCAACTAAAATCCAAAATAAGATTTTTAAAATGTTCAAAAATAGCAGCTCCACATATATAAGCTTTGCTCATAATAATTCATGTAAATGGATTGCTTTCATAAAAAACAATAATAATAATAATAATAAATTAGCAAAAAAGCAGGGGCAAGAAAATACAAACAAATAAGAACTTCTCTGCCAAAGACACTGCATAGTATATGTGGGGGGAAAAAAGAACAAAAAGAATACAATAACTAAAATAGTTCACTATACAAGGACAAAACATATATGGACAAACAAAGTCTCACTGATTAAATGAAATATACAAGGATATACAATAGATGAAGTAACTAGAAGAATTGAGTAGAAAGATGCAAATTTTAGAGAGCTCATCTAATTTTTATGAAGGGACGCCCAGAACTGGATAATTTCACAGGAAAAAATAGAAAGTTCAGGGAAATACAGCATCTCTCCTTGCATATACGTAGCAAAAAGATTCGTCTTCTTGAAGTAGAAATTCTAAATAAGCCTTTTAATAGCCCAAGATATCCATGACCATGGCAACTGTACTTTTTTTAACTGACATTTTGAAGCTTTTTACTGCAGAGTGCGATGCTTCTGACAAATGGTGTAGACGGAAAATATGATGTTTGCACCACCATATAAGATAATACATTGATATATACATTGTAACACGAGCTAAAAGATAAACTACCTATTACTCGAGGATAAAAAAAATTGGGGCAAAAGCAACAACATGCAATATTTCAATATTAAATAATGTACTTTGATGAGCAAACCGAGTTTAATAGAAGTGTGAAAACAATAGTCCTCACCATCGCCAATGAAATATACAGTCATTTAACATAAAATGTAAGAAACTTATCAAACGCCACTTAAATTTGCCATTAAGAATTATATACTTATACAAAAGTACACAGCGTACCAGCATCAATATCGTGCATGATATGTTTAAAAGGAACACTAGCCGATCCTTGGTATAACTTTCCATGTTTTGAAAGAACCAGATAAGAATTTTCCGGCTTTCTGGTCCATTTGAAGTCTTTGATGCAACTGGAATCAGTTGTTGAACAAGAGAAATAGGGTTTTTCAGCCTGCATAGCAGCAATGAAATATAAGAAAATGACGTGCAAGAAAAATAACTAAACAAAACAAAAAACCATTAGCAATAAGAGTGAAACAGCGTTAAATAAATGGAAAACTTGCTGAGAGATTAGAGGATTTCGATCTTAAGGCGAGTTAGAGGTTTCATCAAAGTACTACTGTAACTTCTAGAGAGAAAAACCATGTAATAACTCCGTGCAGGAATTTAATTCAGTAACGTACTTAACCAATGATTGTGATATTTTCCCCGTCGATGCAAATAACCAAAATGACATTTCAGGGGAACGGTGCTTTGAAATTAGGACAAGCTTCAGCTAAAAGCACTACCTTATCAAGCAGCGAGTCAACTGAAAAAAGATGAACATCACCAGCTACGACGGCAGCAAGAAAAGAATTATCATTGGAAAGTGCAAGAACATGAACTTTCCCGACGGAAACATCCACAATACTCAAATCCTGGATTGAAGAACCAGTTCCCCCGTTTTTCATCTCCTTAGCTGAAGCAACTACATCCGTGGTCCTCACCACAAAAAACCCTAAACAAACAAAATTCTTCAAAAAAATCACAGAAAATCAACAGTATTCACAACAAAGGAGAAGCAATTGAAATTACCAACCAGACAAATGGGCAACGAATATAAGACCAAAACTCTCAGACACAGCAAGAGGCTGGGAAGGAGGACTTCCAGGATCAAAAATGGAGTCATTGAGCTTGACAGGAACAGGTTCGCCGATCTTTTCGAAGTAGTAATCGTTGGTTTCAACATGCTCCCCTTCGTAAGAGTCTTCCAATGCAATAGGAGTTAAAGAAATGGAATGCCGCGAATCAACGGACGCCATGAATTGACTGAAGCTTTTCTCTGAATCGAGAGAGAAGCTCTGCGTAAGGTTTTTGAAGCAAACGAATGTTCTTCCCTCTTCTTCTTCTCCGACTTGAGGGGTTTTTGGAGTTCGCACTCTTCAAGTGCCTTTGGGCGGTAAGCGTGTGGGAGATTAAATATATAGCTCCGATTTTAAGCTATTGGAATTTTTCCCAAAAAAATTAAATAATAATAATAATGTAAGAAGTCATTTATACCCCTATTATTTTTCATATACTTTTAAACTTTAAAAATAATTTCAAAAATAGTTATTTCAAAAATAGATTTAAAATTGTTTTAAAAATTTTATCATGGTGTCATGAATTTTTTTTAGAATGACGGTTAAAAATATTTATAGATGATCTATGAGGTGTTAATAGTTAAAAGGTGTATTTATATGACTCGATAATCTGACCAACCCAGATTACCGAACCCAAAACATAAGGGTTGGGTTTGTTAGAGGATGAAAGTCCCACATCGACTAATTTAGAGAATGGTCAGGTGTTTATAAACAAAGAATACTCTTTCCATTGATATGAGTCCTTTTAGGATGCATAAAACAAAACCATGAGAGCTTATGCTCAAAGTGGACAATATCATATAATTGTTGATGAATTTTTTAAGAAACCCGAGTTGATGTTAGTGATATATTACTACTTGTGAGTGTTTGATCGTATTATATACAAATTCCCGACACCTAACTTGTAATGAAACCCGTACTCAATTAATATATATATATAGTATCAATCTTGCTTGTGGAGTTATTCGAATCTCAAACAATGTTATTTCTCTGAGATATTTGATCAACAAAGTAATCTGAATCTTACTCCATTTGCAGTATTCGAATCTCAAACAAGATATTTGATCAACAAATTAATCTGAATCTTACTCCATTTGCAGTGATTTTCCACGTATCATTTGGTACCAAAGCTTCAGGCTCAAGATCGAATATACGTTTCCTTTGCCTTTCTTCTTAATTATATTTTTATCTTTTTAGTTTTTAATCGACCCTATTTAAATTTGTTAGAGGTGAGAATGAAAGCTTCATTTGTGTGAATGAGGGTGAGAATGAAAGCTTCATTTGTTTGTTAGAGGTGAATGAAAGCTTCAGGCTCTATTTTTTTAATCTAATAAATTAGATTAAGTTAAAAAAAGGTTAAAATACTAAAAAATTCATAGGAGGTCACTCAATTAGCACTCGTAAACCATTTTATGAATAATTAATTACTTTTTTTTTTAAAAGTATTTATTAATCATTTTATAATATATATATATTGCCATTTTGATATTTGTTGTTAAAAAAATAAATTAAATAAAAAATTGGAAGCCTTAGCGCCTTTGTACAAGCCGAGAGAGAGGACATGAGCTCGCAGCTACTTCCAGTCTCCTCTCTTCCATCCATCGCCATAGCCAAAGCTCACAACCAAACTCCATTAAAGCCAAGCTCCATTTCCATCTCCTCATCTCCTCTTCCATCTCACACTCTTTCAGAAAGAACGCACATCCCCTCCCATGTCTACAGGCACCCAGCCGCCGTGCTTCTCGAGCTCTGCACTTCCATGAAAGAGCTCCACCAAATCCTCCCACTGGTCATAAAGAATGGCCTCTACAACGAGCATTTATTTCAAACCAAGCTCGTTAGCTTATTTTCCAAGTATGGCAGCATCAACGAGGCCGCTCGTGTTTTCGAGCCGATTGAGGAGAAGATCGACGTTCTCTACCACACGATGCTAAAAGGATATGCGAAGAATTCGTCGTTGGAGACTGCTCTTGCTTTTCTTTGTCGAATGAGGTACGATGATGTTAAGCCTGTTGTGTATAATTTTACTTATTTGCTTAAGGTTTGTGGCGATAATGCGGATTTGAAGAGGGGTAGGGAGATTCATGGGAATCTGATTAAGAATTCGTTTGGGGCGAATGTATTTGCAATGACTGGTGTTGTGAATATGTATGCGAAATGTAGGCAGATTGACGATGCATACAAGATGTTCGACAGAATGCCTGTGAGAGATTTGGTGTCTTGGAATACGATTATTACAGGGTTTTCCCAAAATGGGTTTGCAAATAAGGCCCTGGAGTTGGTTTTGAGTATGCAAGATGAAGGCCAAAGGCCTGATTCGATAACATTGGTTACTGTTCTTCCTGCTGCTGCTGATATTGGATCGTTAATGGTGGGGAAATCTATTCATGGGTATGCCATTAGAGCTGGATTTTCAAAGCTTGTTAATATTTCAACTGCTTTGGTTGATATGTATTCAAAATGTGGATCAGTTGATACAGCTAGATTGATTTTTGATGGAATGGAACAGAAGACTGTTGTGTCATGGAATTCCATGATGGCTGGATATGTGCAAAGTGGTGAACCAGAGATGGCTATTGCAATCTTTGAGAAGATGTTGGAGGAAGGAATAGAGCCTACCAATGTAACAATTATGGAAGCGTTACATGCCTGCGCCGATTTGGGTGATTTCGAAATGGGGAAGTTCGTTCATAAGTTCGTCGATAAGTTAAATCTTGGTTCGGACGTTTCCATTATGAACTCATTGATATCTATGTATTCGAAGTGTAATCGAGTCGACATTGCTTCTGATATCTTCATGAACTTACATCGAAAAACTCTCGTCTCATGGAATGCAATGATTTTGGGTTATACTCAAAATGGAAGAGTGAGTGAAGCTTTGAATTGTTTTTGTGAGATGCAATCTTTAGGTATAAAATCTGATTCATTTACAATGGTTAGTGTGATACCTGCTCTTGCAGAATTATCAGTCACTCGCCAAGCTAAGTGGATACACGGACTAGTTATTCGATCTTGTTTTGACAAAAATATTTTCGTAACGACCGCTCTCGTCGACATGTATGCAAAATGTGGAGCAATTCACATGGCAAGGAAGCTTTTCGACATGATCGATGACCGACATGTCATAACATGGAACGCAATGATAGATGGATATGGAACACACGGACTTGGAAGAGCTGCGGTAAACCTTTTTGACGAGATGCGAAGGGGAACAGTTGAGCCAAATGATATTACATTCTTATGCGTTATTTCCGCTTGTAGTCACTCAGGTTTGGTAGACGAAGGACTTCGTTATTTCGAGAGCATGAAACAAGATTATGGATTAGAGCCTTCAATGGATCACTATGGTGCCATGGTCGACCTTCTCGGTCGAGCTGGTAGGATCAAGGAGGCTTGGGATTTTATAGGAAACATGCCAGTTAGTCCCGGGATTACCGTGTACGGTGCCATGTTGGGTGCGTGTAAAATTCACAAAAACGTCGAGTTTGGAGAGAAATCAGCCAATAAACTGTTTGAGATGAACCCTGATGAAGGTGGCTATCATGTGTTGCTTGCAAATATTTATGCTTCTGCTTCGAAGTGGGGCAAGGTAGCTGAAGTAAGAAGAACAATGGAGAAGAAAGGGCTTAAGAAGACTCCTGGTTGCAGCTTTGTGGAGATAAGAAACGAGGTCCATTCCTTTTATTCAGGTAGCACAACTCATCCACAATCCAAGAGAATTTACGCCTTTCTCGAGGAACTTGGGGACGAAATCAAGGCAGCTGGCTACGTGCCCGACACGAGCTCGATACACGACGTGGAAGATGCTGTCCAAGAGCAGCTTCTCAATAGCCATAGCGAGAAGCTCGCTATTGCTTTCAGTCTTTTGAACACGAGTCCGAACACTACGATACACGTACGAAAGAATCTACGAGTGTGTGGAGATTGTCACAATGCAACGAAGTATATTTCGCTCGTGACCGGAAGGGAAATCATAGTAAGGGATATGCATAGATTTCATCATTTCAAAAATGGAACTTGTTCTTGTGGAGATTATTGGTGAGCTTTAGCCATGCTGTTTCTTATACGTCATAGTTGTAACACTCACTATTGAAAATCATACGATCAGCTTGAAAGCATTCGGGAGGTGATTAGTCGTTTTTGGCCAAGCTTCTATTAGGCCGACCACTACATAACTAAAGAGATCTATACACCAATCATCAGCGATAGTGAAGCCCGTTAGAGGTGGAAGTTGTAGCTTCTAGGACGAAGCCGAGCCACTAATGGAGTGGCGAATGAGGCATACTATACGTCTCCTAGACTAGTAACGACTGAAATACGAGAAAAAAACGACACCAAATTTCAGTTAACTATTTAAGCTATCAGTGTGATTGTTGATCCGAGAATTACTAAGGACTTTCGGTAGACTGATTTCATTTCCTAGATACGAGAATTACCAAAGACTTTCAGTAAACTGATTTCATTTCCTAGATCCGAGAATTACCAAGGACTTTCGGTAGACTGATTTTATTTTCAAATTCGTTTGAGACAGGTCCTAGCATTACCGGGTTCTTTCAGTGTGATCCGAACGTCATTTTTAATAAATTATCTGAAAACATATCCTTTTGAATAAATGACTTTCTTTCAAAAGAATATAGAATAACATTTTTTTTTTCTTTCACATCTTATAGATGTATACATACAGTTCTATCTGGAATATTTTTTTTTTAATTCAAGATGAACACATTAATCAACAAAATCCATAAATTTTTCATTTGCATGAATCAAACTCATTATCGAACATGATTCAAACCCTAATTAATTCAAATGCCCAACTGAAATTTATAATGTTTTATTTATTTATTGCAAACAGAAATGAATTGATAATTCATATAGATTTACTTTTCAATTGCGGAGTCGCGGGTCGATCTCAATAATTTATACATTTCGAGAGCGTTTTAGATAATTTGAGAATTCTGGTGGTTAGGAACCCAACACGATTCGGAAAGCGACTTTGGATGCAGAAATCGACACAAATTTGGGGATTTTCAATTCAAACCAGGTTCTTAGGGCATTGAACTTCCAGGTTTCATCTTCGTTTTTGTTTGTGAATCGATTGAGTTCGTTTCAATTTGGATTATATAGAAAAAAAGTTTTAAATTCGAGTTGTATCAGTGGGAGAGGGAGATCGGTCGAGAATCGATATGACTCCTGTTTGTCCCTTCGTGAAATCTGCTCGTCCCGACGACGCTTCTTCTCGGAAGCACCAGCCGGAATCTGCTTGTCCTTTTGCGAAATCCGGCCGTTCCGATGATGCTTCTTCACGAAAACAGCAATCATCAGAGTCTTCTTGTCCGTTTTCGAAATCTGCTCGTTCGGACGACGGTTCTTTGAAGAAGGATCAGCCTGAGGCGGAGAAAGACGTTGCCGATGCTGCTAAAACTGGCGGCAAATGTCCGTTCGGATATGATTCTCAAACTTTCAAGATTGGTCCTCTAAGCTGTATGATTTGTCAGGCACTTCTCTTTGAATGCAGCAGATGTGTCCCCTGTTCTCACATTTTCTGCAAGTAATTTATCAGCTATGGTGCTTTTTGATCTTCGTTTTAGTTTGTTTTGGGAATCCTTCAGGCATTTATTCGTTTGTTTCTTGTTGAATTGAACTAGAGCATGTATATCACGCTTTAATGATTGCCCCCTGTGTGGAGCTGACATTGAGAAGATTGAAGCACACGCTGATCTGCAAGCCACGGTCGATCGATTCATTGAAGGTCATGCGAGAATCAAGAGATCTCAGATGAACTCAGACAAAGAGCAGGAGGAAGTTAGTGAAAGTAAAGTAGTTATTTATGAAGATTTGTCCATGGAGAGAGGTGCTTTCTTGATCCAACAAGCCATGAGGGTAATATTCCTTGTTGTTTTCTTCCTGTTTCGTTCATGCCCTTGATCTCTGATTGCATGTTTGATCATCTCACTGCAATCAATTGAATCTTTCCTTTGATGAAATCCGTTTATTTGGAGGATCTAGTTAGTTTTTGTAACCATCCAAGTCCACATATTGTCTTCTTTAGGCTTTCCCTTTTGGGTTTCCCCTCAAGGTTTTTAAAACGTGTCTGCTGGGGAGAGGTTTCAACACCTTATAAAGAATGTTTCGTTCTCCTCTCCAACCGATGTGGGATCTCACAATCCACCCCATTCGGGGCCCAACATCTTCGTTGGCACTCATTTCTCTTTCCAATTGATGTGGGATCTCACAATCCACCCCTTTTTGGGGCCTAACGTCCTCGTTAGCACATCGCCCGGTGTCTTACTCTTAATATCATTTGTAACAGCTCAAGCCCATCGCTAGCAAATATTGTCCTCTTTGGGCTTCCACTTTCGGGCTTCCCTCAAAGGTTTTTAAATCGCGTCTGCTAGGGAGAGGTTTCTATACGTTTATAAAGAATGCTTCGTTCTCCTCTCCAACCGATGTTCATCTGTGAGAACCCACAGAAAGAAAGCAAGAATTTAGGAAACGGTTAACTAAACACCATTTACAGAAATTGGGAAACTCCATTTCCTAACATCCCTTTTTGTTCTTAAAGGTTTTGATCTCAACTCTGGCTTTTATTGCAGGCATTTCGTGCCCAGAATATTGAAAGTGCCAAATCCAGGCTCACTATCTGTGTTGAAGATATTCGAGATCAATTAGAAAGAGCGGGCAATTCATCAGAATTATGCTCACAGCTTGGAGCAGTTCTAGGCACACTTGGTGATTGTTGGTATGTTGGCTCCCTTCTCTCTCTCTCTCTCTCTCTCATGAATATCGTCCAGTAGTTTAGTGTTTATTGAAACTTAGGTGGTGAGTTTTTGAATTAGATGTATCTCTTTGAGTCCCCTCAGTTTCACATCGGCCTATTTGTTGGTAACAATGGTCAACTAATAGGTCTTTTAGGCATTCAGATTCCTGAGTTATCATTCTAACTACTAGCATGTGTAATTAAATGAAATCCTGATGTAAATATTCCTTGCAAGTATCTGAACAGTATTATGTGTCCAAATTTTTTTAGTTCACCAAAACAATATCCACAAATCTTGATGTAAAGGTCTGTTGTTCGATCCTACTTTACAGTCGAGCAGCTGGGGATGCTAGTTCTGCAATAAAGCACTTCGAAGAAAGTGTAGAGTTTCTCTCAAAACTACCCGAAAAGACTCGCGAGGTTCTTTATTAGAAACTTTTGTGAGTTATCAACTGCTTGCTTTTGTAATACGTAGTAACCCTTTTCTTCTTACTTCAGGTCACGCATACACTTTCTGTTTCACTAAATAAAATTGGCGATCTTAAGTATTATGAAGGAGACCTTCAAGCTGCAAGATCTTATTATCAGCAGTCTCTTAATGTTCGCCAAGATGCAAGCAAGCATCATTCAGAAGATCCATCCCAGGTTTGTGATTGTGAATTTCTTATATGAAATTTTTTATCTTAAAAGATAACATGTCGCGTATGCTATCCAGTTCTAGAACCTTTTAGTGATAAGTAGTTTCGTTGAAGGTCCATCGACCAAAATGGATGTTAATAGAGACAACCCTTTACCTTAAGCCTGACAAATCTCGTTTCACTTGCCCTACCGCTTTCATTGCCTGTAAAGACTCGAGATCTACAGCCCTAGCGAGCAAAAACTAATTCTTGAACATCATCAACTGCATCTTATACACTATGAAATAAAAACTTAAAGGAATCTTTCTGGGCGGACTAGCAAGAAAGCTCAAGGGTACAAAAAACTGACCTTAATTCCTCATTCCCTTTCAAAACTGTCCAGTGTTTTCTTTTGCATTCCGTGTACTCGAAAGGAACGCAAAGTTATACCATTAAATACCGACATACTTTTGCAAATCAACTTGATGTAGTAGCTTAGTAGGGATAGTTCGAAAATTTTTGCATCTTTTTTGAAGTTTACTGTTTTAGTTATTGACTGTTAGCTTAGTAGGGACCTTGAAATTAAGTTCAACATTGAATAAAGTTCTTTTTCCTTTTTTCTTTTGAAAATTCTAAAGAGGGTCGATGTGAGATTGCGTTATCCGTATCAGTGTGATGTTCTATCCCGAACAAACGACTGTTGTCAGTTAAGATCGAAGAAAAAAAATCCTATTTAAACACATTGTAGGAGGGGGCCATTTATCTAACAGCATATAACAAGTTCCAAGAAGAAAAATAGAACTTCAGCAATCCTTCATTGCTATCAATGAAATTCAATGGGTATTTTGTGGAGTCGATGTAATCTTGACTTACTAGTTGGTTTAGTACTCTTCAAATGCTTACTCTCGACCGTTTATAGTTTAGAATATGATTCGTGTTAGGAAGTCTTGGTCCATTCTTGCTTACGAAGACTTTCGTTGTGGATTTTATCGTCACATTAGCATACGTTTTAATAAATGATATTGTTCAAGTTCCTCATGGTTTCTGAAATGGCTACTTTTTATTTACCTTATTGCTTGCTAGATCCTAGATGTGGCTGTTTCGCTTGCAAAAGTTGCAGATGTGGACAGTGGTCTAGGAAATGAGGATATGGCAGTTAATGGGTTCGAGGAAGGCATAAAGTTATTGGAATCGTTAACACTGAACTCGGAGAATCCTGGTCTTGAGCAGCGAGTAAGGCTACGATTCTTTGTTTCCGAACCTTTATGCATCATGTTTTAATTAGTTGAACTATATTTGAGTTAATCGACATTATTTCTATTTTGCTCGTAGCGTCAATCTGTGTTGAAGTTCCTCGAAGGTCAACTTGCAGAGCGACAAAAGGCAACTCAATCCAGTTGATGGAAAGACGAGATGATGGCTTCTGTTAGAGATCATTCATATGCAACGTCTTAGTTAAGCAAATAAGCTCCTTTTAGCCGAGAAATGGGGAAAAGATCGCGCGAGCGTTAAGGAAATTTGTCACTATGGAATACGTCGACTTAGATGCTCTCATCGTGTTTTCTTCAGCATATAGTACAGAAGCATACATAATCGATGTTGCTTTATTCGCATTGCTGAATCAGCAGGTCTGCCCAGTCATCACGTCACGTCTCGTGTATAATGGTGTTCTTATCGTCTCTAATAAGTCTGGTTTTTGTAGAATTTAGCAGGAACTCCTCACGCTCTTTTTCAGTGAAGTTGTTTGCTAAGCTTGAACCTCTGAAATAAATTGAACTTTTAAGTAGAATTTGATCTTGTTTATGATGCTTTCTTCCAAGAACATATTTGTTGAGTTTATGCAATATTCAGTTGAACATCGTGGACCTTTCATTGGCATTACAATGCCTTAATATAATATCTTAAAACTTTACCACATTAACCACAATGATTAATAGGGTTCCGGGTTTAGACGTTTACGTAATACTTTGAAGCGCATAGAATAATACCGAAGTGTCAATAAATTGACCATTCATATTCATGTTCCTCTCTCTTGTTCTCGTATCATTTCTTATTTCTCCTTTGGTGAAATCAAACAGTATGATATCTGTCAACAAGAACAGAATGAGGTATCGTGTAGACAATAGACAATTGAGAACTAACTGTCGATATGAAGAAGTCCCATTCTCATCTCATATGAATCATAGGTTCGAATCTCTGATTCCTATTGAATTATAATACTTTTAATGATAATAATGAAACCCTTTTGTGTTTGGATTGATGGAGGGGCTGGCCTACCCAGGAACTTAAAATTTCTGAACCAGCATGACAATTTGACATCATGAGCAGTGTCAACGTATCTGATTACTCCTATCTCTTCCCTCTACAGCTGCACCCTGAGAGTCACAGTAGACCAGAGCAGTGTCAACCTTTTTTCTGGTGGGTTTATGTTAAACCACAATCGTAATATGTACACTACGAGGGGTGATATGGGAAAAGGCCACTAGACAAGTCGTTAGTGGAAAGTAGTGTGTACGGACGAGCATGGGAGTGAGATTATATTTATGAGATCTCACATCGAGCGTGTGAAAACCTCTCCCTAGCAGAGGTATTTTAAAAACCTTGAGGGAAAGCCCAAACGGGAAAGTCCAAAGAAGACCATATCTGTTAGCAGTAGGCTTGGGCTATTACAAATGATATCAGAGCCACACACCGAGCGATGTGCCAACGAGGAGGCTGAGCCCTGAAGGGGGGTTGACACGAGGCGGTGTGCCAGTAGGGACGCTGAGCCTTGAAGAGGAGTGGATTGAGGGGTCCCATATCAATTGGAGAAGGGAACAAGTGCCAGCGAGAACGCTGGCCCCAAAGAGGGGGTGGATTTTGAGATCCCATATCGGTTGAGGAGGAGAATAAAACATTTTTTATAAGGGTATGAAAACCTCTCCCTAACAGACGCGTTTTAAAAACATTGAGAAGCTCAAAGAGGACAATATTTACTAGTGGTGGGCTTAGAATGCTACAATCCATCTGTTAGGGGAAGGGGAGCATTTATTATGAGCATTAGAACAATGTTCTAGGGTGTAAAGTTACCGGCTCTCTTGAATTGGCTGGGCTGTGTTGTATTCTAGTTGGAACCATGTTTTCCCTTTAGTTTCAATCAAAAGAGGTAAGAAAGTATCCTTACAGGTTGATCGAAAGGGTGGAGCTCACAGCAACCTGAAACTCTGGCAAAGTGACTTGACTTCATGAGCAGTGTAACCATCTAATTAATACCAGCTCTGTCACTGAAAGAATATTTTCAAGTATGTAAACCCCATACAACCAAATCACTGAGAATAGCATTCAGGTTAATGAATGAAATAGTTTATAGTACAAACTAATCTTTCTCTATCCAAATAAGAGGCATCAGACATTCAATCTTGTATCGGGAACAAATGTCATTATTTGGTTGGAAATATGTACACACTGATCATTGCAATTATTAAGGATATCTTGTAGAGTATAAAATGAAGGTGCAAAAGAACTGACCCTTTTTTCAAATTGCTCAGCAGCAGCAGCAGCAACAGTTTTTCTCGAACCAAGTATCAACAGGAGACTTCGAGCAAAGATCTGAACATAAAAGATCAAAAAAGTAATTTTATAGACCTGGTATCATATGTAGGATTGCTTTTGGGTCATCCATTGATCTACTGAGTTCTTTGGCGTTCTTTAGAACCCCCATAAGTCTGCCAATTTCAAAAGATGGGTAGGCTTAGTTTTTAAATGACATGGATTTGCCTCTTTTGAAGCTTTGCACCTTCAGGAGCAAGAGTTTGTCCCACCACTATGACAATTACACTTGACAGCTTAAATGCCCTTTAGCCCACGGTTCTTTTAATCCTTCCTTCCACAGTTCCCATCTCCATTTTGGTCTTGGATGATTAACTGCACGTTTTGACATGATTCCACCAGCAAGGTGAGAATCGGCATTGCGATAGATGAGCAATTCCATATCGAGGGAGTCGGTACATTTTTCCAAAATGGGAATGATAAATGGAAGTTTTAACTCAATCTTGTAGGTTTCAAGGCTAGCATGAAGCTTTTTCAAATCTCTCATCCCTATCCGTCCATCCAAACCTTCAGCTTGATAACAAGTCTCGGCTTCTGACAAAACTCCTGGACCCAATTTAAGAAAGCTAAGATTTGGAAATATTTCAAACAGTGTATCAAGGCAAAGCTTAACAGATTCAACAGATTCAGCACGTTGCATTGTATTGAGAGTGAGTTCCTTTATAGTTCTTGCAGATGAAAATGTTGTGATGAGACTGTAAAGACACGGAAAATGAAGCTGAAGCTTTCTCAAGCAAGGGAATTCATTAACTTGTAACCCACTTGCATCTTGTAGACAAAAATGAAAATCAGATAGCATGGGAGTTTGGATAATAAGAGATTTTGGTTTGACACACTTCAGTTCAAGTTTTGATAGGCTTGGTGCACATATGCTCAGAGAAACTGGAGCATTTGACACTGTCCATCGACAGGTTTTAAGGTGTGACAGATGAATTTTTGGTTCATTTAGGCCCCCAACCCCTATCAAATTAAGAATTTCAAGATGAGGGAAGTTATAGTTAACCTCGCTCAGATCTTCATCATCTAATCTTATAAATTCTAGGGTCAGACACTTGAGGGAATTCAATCTATTCAGACCATCCACTGACAACCAAGCATTCTTCAATTCAAGTTCCTGAAGATTGCCACCTACAAGAAGAAACAAGTCAAGGTCAAACAAATGGACAATAACATGAAAATTTTAAGGTCGTGGAAATATTTTGAATGGAAAATAGAACCAAGATGATAACCAAAGTCACTTCAAACGAATAGAAACAAATTGGTCCTGGTATCAGGCAAATTAATGGATCTTACATCTACCTGGATGAAAAACTCGACCAAAAGTTCAACTAATCGGAAACGAGAATCCTTCTTTAACAGTTAGTTCTCTAAGTGAAAAACAACAATAACAGTAATTAGTCTAGAATACCAAATACTCGGCTTGATTCTAAGATTGAACCTCTCTTTTCCTAAATCCATCCAAACATTGATTGTTTCTTAGTGCTTGAACTGATCCATGAGACATCGATAAAATAAAGAAAGGAGAGTATGCCAATGCCTTCTGAGGGTTATAAAGCCTGCTCGTTTTTCTCCTCTTGTCCAAATTATTTCAACCATATGACTTTACTAACCAAATTTCAGTCTTTCTAAAATCGCACGATGACACACCAGGAAGTTGCCCTTTTGGCATCCTTATCGTTCCCATTTTCGGAAGCCAAGTGCACCTATGCTATTCATTCAGCCTTGACCAAACCACATAAACACGAACTTCATTATATTACCATCAAAACAGAGGAAATAATAACTAAGTTTTAAGAACTGGCTTGCAACAGATGGCGTGTCATGATACTTCATAGTCTACCACACTTCCAAAGTTGACATGATAGTTAAATCACTACAACTTAAGCTACGTCTTTTATTCATCCTAGCAACCTCACTAGTGGGCTTGAACTTGAGTGGAAACTCTAGCAGTTGACAATATATTAACCGGGGAAGAAATAATATCACATAAGTTCAAATATAGTACCCTTCTGCAATGATGCAATTTTAAAACAACGTTTAACCCATAAATTCAAGCTGATGAATTAATTTAATCTTGTATACAAATTCTTAACCATCCACAATATCCCATATTTCCTTTGTAAAAGACATACAGAATTATTGGAGATTACCCTCTACGTCCTCACAGCGATCCATTGCTTTTTCCTGTTTCTTCATCCCATGTTCTTATTGATCATAATGAACTAGCAAATCAATTCCAACATTTTCAACAATTCAAACAACGGTTCGTGTACTTCTCAGTCTTCCAGACGTGGAAACGTCTAGAAGTTCAGATGAACGTAAGTAGTTCCATGAAGAAATTGATATTTTAAAGCAATAAGATAGCGAAACTCACAGCATAAAGTAATTAGCGCCAAAATCTTCGATTGCCTCCAGCATGATTGAACCCAAAAATCCACTATCGACAAGGAAGTCAAACCTCTACCAATCGCCGGCAGCCATTCCCTAGCGAAACCAACATCCGTCAAGAACAAGTCATCAGACCAATCCTCAACATCGTCGTGCTCATACGAAATCCGTCCAAGTGACTTCTCCACACCGATCGACACAGAATCAAGAGCCACAAAATCGTTCATCAGACTCTTCAATATGACCTTGAAAGGCATTACTAACAACCTCGTCTCCACAGCCCTAGACTTGAGATATCGATCCAATGAACAAAAGAGGTTCACTGACCTAACCTCACGAGAAAGAACATTAAGAGATTTGGAAGCCACACGACACCGAGCCAAATCGGCGGAATCGGCCAGTCGATTCAGGATTTCGAGAACTAACGAAGGCGGAAGATCATCCATGGCGAAAAACAGAAGAACGTTTATGAATTTTGTGAATTTGTGGCGATAAATTCACGCATCTCTTCGTTGGCGGTGAGATTGAATCATTGCGATTAACGAACAACGGTTACAGAGAATATTCATTTTGGTTTCTCCTGTACGGACAAACATAAAGAACAAATAATGGACTTCAAACACCAACCATATATATATGAACACAAAAGGATAAGCATAGTAATCAAAGCTGGTTTAACCACGAAGTTTGGTTAGTTGACCTATTATGGTTAAGTAAATCAAACCATAGTTAAGAAATTGTCAATAAGCTAGCTTTTATTTATTTACTTATTTTAATTCGACATAATATAATTAAATTAATTGAAAGACTCGGAAAGGATCAGGTTTATCATATATATATATATATATATATATATATATATATAATAGAAAAATATTGATTCTAACTCCGTGCTCGTGAATAATTTGAGCAAAGAAGAAAATAAAGAATCGACGTTCTTTTAACTATTTTGCTCGACTGGGTCTGAAAGGATCGAGTTTATTGTATCTAACATAAAAATATTGATTCAAGTTCGTTGTCTGTGAAAACCCGAGCGATAGAAGAAAGCAGGGAATCGAAGGTAGGGCATTTAGTTTTATTCTTTTGACTATTCTGCCCAAAGTTGAAAGGGTCGTGTTTATCACATCTAATATGAAAACATTGACTCTAACTCTTTGCCTGTGGAGAATCCGAGCGAAAAAAAAGAAAGCAGAAACTCGAAGTAGTAGAACAATTAGTTTTGTTCTTTTGACTATTCTGCCCGAAGAAGCCGAAAAGGGTCGGGTTTATCACATCTAATATGAAAACATCGATTCTAACTCTTCGCCTGTGGAGAATTCGAGCGAAAAAAAAGAAAGCAGAAACTCGAAGTAGTAGGACAATTAGTTTCGTTCTTTTGACTATTTTGCTCGAAGAAGCCGCAAAGGGTTGAGTTTATCACATCTAATATGAAAACGTTGACTCTAACTCTTTGCCCGTGAAAAATCCGAGCGAAAAAAAAAAAAAAAAAGAAG